ATCTGTTAAACAAGCAGTTAGAAAGTCATTCAAAATCGAAAATGTATACACCCCATTCCTTTCAATCTTACAATATAATAGCCAAGAGTTTGCTGGTTTATAGTCTATTGCTAATACCCTTGAAGAGTGTTTCTTCCACCATTCCAGCATCTTCACCTGTTCCATTACCTTACTGGCTATCAAGACATGGGCCGAAAGAACACAACTTTCTTTTGGCTTGTTCATCTATATGACTATAATCTGTGTATCTAAAGTTCTGGGAGAATGGTTAATGCTTACACTGTTTTGTTTCTCGAATCAAAAAACCGTCTCCAACACTTAGAGAAGCCTTTCCAAAGAATGGACATTTTGTTTCTATCTTTTTTTTTATCTTGAAAAGGCTCATGATACTACATAGAGATATAGAATTATTACAGGATCTACACTCCTATGAGTTGTGTGTCCACTTACATATTTTTATACATAATTTCTGGTCACAAAGGTAGTTACAAGTCCACATAAAATAAACGCTTTCCTGATACCTTACACCGGAACTTGGAGTACCCCAGGGCTCTGTCTTGAGTATCGCATATTTTATCATGATGATCAATGCTATTAATGAATACCTCCCTCTTATAGTTGCTAACAGCCTCTAAGTGAATGTCAGTCATTGAATATGAGGTACATCGAGTAGCAGCTTGAACCCGCCCTCAGTAAATTGTTTGAGTGGACCACTGTAAACAGTTTCAAAGTTTCGCCATCTAAAACTGTTTGCATTCATTTATGCTGCTAATGGGGATTGAACCCTGGAAGATGCACACATTTTTTGTGGTGACTGATAATAAGGTCCTAAGACTTCTCTTTGGCAAGAAGCTGACTTTTATTTGACGCATAAAATAGCTTAAGGTCAAGAGTACAAAGACACTGAATATAATTAATGACCTCTCTTCCATTTCTTGGGAAGTGCATAGGGGTTCTATGCTGAACATTTAGTGTGTCCTGATTTAATCCAAGATGGATTATAGCTCTCTTGTTTAGGGACTATGCATTGAAGATTTTATACCTTAGCATCATCATGGGCTTCTACTAGGTACAAGGGTTTTCTGCTCTTATCTCACCAAGAGTTTATACACAGAGTCCTATGAACCTCCACTTCACATCACGTGTTTGCACATTTCTTTGCAATATGCTTCAAAGCTCCCATTTCTGCCACAGCATCCCACCTGGCATTGTTTCTTCTTACCTTGGTAGGCTATGCTTTTAGCAAATAGACAATCTGTTATCCAAATACTTGTCCTCTGTATTCAGAAAAAATTAATTGAGATAGGCCTTTCATTGGATAATATTAATGAATTCAATGATCAGCCCATCCCACTATGGCTTGTTACCACCCCCACTGTGAACTTTCATTGAGTCGTGTGAAGAAATCGGATACTCCTAACTGGAAGTATCAACTTCTCTTTTATGAACACCTTTCAAGCCACCCTTCTGTTTCAAGTTCGAATGGTTTAAAATCATATGACTCTGTGATGGTGTACTCTGTAATTTCTCACAGAATTCCCTCTATAAATTTTGTGTTCACTGTTGAGTTGTATGTAACATCACTTATTCTGAATCCCACTGAGGCTAAGTTGTACACTAGCTGTAATGTCTATACCAACTTACTTAGCTCTTTGAAAGTACTAGAATCACTTAATGTTATTTCTCTTCCAGTTCAATTGGATATTCAAAAAAGAATTGCTTATTTCCTCCTAGCATCTATCTATATCTAGTTTTCTGTATTCGTAGGCATTTAGGAATTTGAGGGAATGGACTCGCTGACACTGCAGAAAAGCAAAATAGCTGTAAGATGATTCTAGAAATTTCTAGAATATGTTTTAAAACTATATTAAAGGGCTGGTCAAGTTTATATGATTAATTCCAATTTTATGTCAGTAGCTAACGAGTTTTATGCTGTATTTTGTGCAATATTATTTCAACATTTACTAAATATATTTTGTAACTGCTTTACTATTTTACACGACTATGAATATATATTGTTATAACTATTTTTATAATTGTTTTTATATTAATTATACTTGCAATACTTCATTACTTCCTCTATAATTCCGGCCCGGTCTGGCCAGGTGGTTAAGGCGCTCGACTCGCAATCTGTGGGTCACGGATTCGAATCACCGTCACACCAAACGTGCTCGCCCTTTCAGCCGTGGGGGCGTTATAATGTGACGGTCAATCCCACTATTTGTTGGTAAAAGAGCAGCCCAAGAATTGGCGGTGGGTGGTGATGACTAGCTGCCTTCCTTCTAGTCTTACAGTGCCAAATTAGGGACGGCTAGCACAGATAGTCCTCGTGTAGCTTTGCGCGAAATTCATAACAAACCAAACCAAACTATATAATTCCCCCCCAGTGGCACAGCGGTATGTCCTTTGTGTAGCTTTGTCCAATACAAACAGAATTCATATTAAACTTCCTCATATATTGAAAAATAAAAATATTTTATAGAATAACCCTCATATCGTTACTGCAGTAGCTACTGTAAATAGTTGAATTTGAAAAAACTCACACTACAACAAAATTCTACAAGTCAAAGATTATGAAGAAAACTTTCAACATTTTGGCTCATTTTCCATAATAACTAAATTATACAGTAATAAAACATCAAGCTACAATGTGGAGAATAAAGATATTGCTGCTGTTTAAGTTTCCTGCTCTTTTCTGATTCACATCATTTAACTTCTGGTTTGTATTTAGGCTAGAATATGCGCTTAAGCCTGAATTGGAGAAGAACAAGCAAAAGTACCCGTCCCCAGTGACGGGAAAGGTTTAAGTTAATCTGTCAATTTAAATTATTTCGTGGACTTAAAAAAGGTTAATTGTGTTGCACTATTTGTTTCACTCAGAGCCAAAACTCTGAGATATTTATACCGCCCACCATGAAAAGTAATTGTTGAGCATTTCAGTCGTGCTAAGAGCTGCTGAACAATAACATATGGTAAATCTACATTTTTATTCTTTAGGTTACGTCATATTTTGAAATATGACTAATAGTGTGATTAATTCCTAACAACGTAGTGTAGAATATTCTGCTTGCAAAATAAAATTTAGTATCAACATTATTCATGCGTGTTCTTCCGTTATTTCAAAAGTGAATGTCGAGCTTCGCCTGCGTTCGCAGCTTTTCAAACGGGAGACGAACGAACGCTCGGACAGACACCACAGTTCCCAATATATACACACGATTTCATAATTAAAATAGTTTTAGGATATTTCTTACGTTTTTGATGTAGTATAAATTTTCCGTAGCAGCAAAATTCAAGATTATTATTAAATGTAATGCACTAAATGTACCAAAATCAGACAGTAGAAATCTTAACCACATGTCTACTGTTAAATAGGCTGCTTTGAACAAGAAGTCACCAGTGGTGGAATTAGCTATTCTGGGACTGTAGGCGCAACCTCAGGTTTTGGTCCTTATCATTAGCATTATTCTTGACTTAATCATTTACATAATTCATAATGGTGTGAATTAGTAACTAATATTGTATTAGGTGTATATAATAATATAAACATAACCAAACAAAGAATAAACATCTACTTCATATCAAAAATTTCCTAACTTTTTAATTATAAACTGGTCAATTATTTCTTCGTGACTCATACCTTATAATTCCTCATTTTCTATGTTCAGAAGTGAAAGAGAAGACAAACGATCCTGGGATATTGTGTTTCGTAAATAGTTTTCACTCTTTTTAACACAGAAAATGACCTTTCTCCCGTAGCATTGCTAGTTTGTATGTTTGTTTGTAGTTATGCTCAAAGCTACACAATGGACTATCTGTGCTCTACCTACCACGGGTATCGAAACCCGGATTCTAGCGTTCTAAGTCCGCAGACACACCGCTGTGTCACTGGGGGGGGGGCAGCATTGCTAGCAAGAAAAATTTTTTAAATTCTCAGTACAGTTTCTACGTTTGGAAGTGTCGAATGTCATTCGGGCAACAAACATTTTCTTCGCAATATTAAAATAAACCGTTGTTTCTTTTTTAAATGACTCAAGTGGCATTATCACTCATATATATAAATTATATACATTTTTCAAACAGTCATGTTTTTTATCTATTGTAAAATCAAAGAATATTTTAAAATGTTTAATAACATCACTGTAACTTTTAATTCTTTTGTCAGTTTTGGTAACAAGTCGATCACAAATTACAAAGAAAACACTAGAAATGAATTGATTTCTTCCTGTTAACAACACTAGAAATGAATCGATCTCTTCCTGTTAACAACACTACAAAGAAGACATTAGAAATGAATCGAA